TGATTTTTAATATGGTAATAAATGCAATAATAGGATGGCAAAAACCAACTTAAAGCTTTCAGAAACTTGTCATATTCGCGACCTATTTAATTTGTATAGTGCCATTTGCAAGACTCACATATAGACCAAAATAAATTGGGCGTAAATAAATCAATGACATGGAAGGGCGTAAAACGCTTATGCTAAGAGTTTCCAAGCAGAGGTCACATGGGGAACCGGAATTGCAGATGGGGGAGATTCCATGGGCGAGATAAATGAATTGCAAGAAGGGGAGACTAATTGCAGCCTGTTGCCGAAGTTGTTGCTTCTGCAGCTGCTGCCTCTGTGGGTTTTATCTTTTAATTTGCCACAAAACGCACAAAGTGCACTCAACACTCGGCAGCGTGGGTGTGCATCGTTGTGTTCGTTAGCCAGCAGACGACTACGGACTTACTGGCCAAGCCTGGGAATCCTCTCACTTTTTTCACATGCACTCCCCATTGTATCTCTGGGATGTGTTCGTACGGGTTTGTGCTGCCGATGATGAAGATCCCAGCTGCCTGGCCGACTGCCTGCTGGATATGACACAGATTACGTAATACGAAATTAACATTTTAACACAATTCAAGAGAAAGAGAAGACGATGACGCGGCTGCATCGTCTCCAGCCGTCTTGGTCGGAAAAATAAAACAAGAAATTTGAGCGTAAAATATGAAGACCGCAGCACGAAATACCCTCTCAAAATATAAAATATATAAAATATTAAGGACATCGAAAAAAGTTTAAAAAGGTTTTTATGGGTGTTATATCAAATTTAACTATAACACTTGCTGACCTTAAAATTTATATTTTTCTATGCTTAAAAAATCTTTACACATTTACATTTTTCAAGTACGCAAATTATCATTCTGGTTATAATTCAATTTAAGAAGTTTGCATTAGGAACAAAAGTTTTAATGTAGATATATGGCAAACCTCCTGAAAGATATGAATACCCTCTTGGGAGTAAAAAAATGCATAAGATAAAAATTGGAAATGGGAACCCGTTGCCGATTGGACTGCTGCCCGCCCCACGTTTTGGACCTGCCCATTTGGTCGGCGCTGGCTCATCACTCTTGGCTTCAGCTCCATGACGCGGCCAACCGGGGCTCAGTTATCGGGAGGACGATGGCGATGGTGATGATGATGACGATGGCCAATGCATGGGCACTTTCGGGCCGAGAGTAACGCCTCTTGCAGTCAATTATGCAATTAACGTTTTGCCAGCAAACAAGAAGCAATCGCGCCAAATGAGCCGCGTTTCCTACACATTACACATTAGTCGACGCCGCGTTGACAAAACTCAGACTCAGACTCAAACTCAAATGCAGATGGCAGATGCAAATGTAAATGCTAACGCAGATTCGGTGGTGTTGGCCAGCTGCCAGCAGATCGATAGTTGGTTGTAAAAAAAGTAAAAATAAGAAGAAATAGCTGACAAAATAGTGATACTCGTACTCAATCCAAAGTTGCAATCGCCCGGGCCCGCTGACAACTGTGAAGTGTCATCGCCCCAAGTCAGCAATAATAATATTGTTGCCCCTCCGGTGCCTCCGATCTCGGATTTCGACTGATTGTTTTGCCTGCAGTGTGTTTCCCAGCAATTAGATGATGGACTGTGATTTGCAACTCGTGCAAACGAATTTAGGAAACACTTGACAAATATTGACAAAGTGCAATGGCAAAAGGGAACGCCATTTATGATTGTACTTTGTAGTTTTCTTGCAATAATGAAATTAAATTGAAATAGGCAAACGTCCATGGAAGAGAGATACCTTAATGAATATTATTTAAATTTTATAATAGTTTAATCTTTTTTATAAAATGCTGACTTTTACAAAAATGTAACTTTGTAAGTAATGGTTTTCAACAAGCCAAATAAAATGAATTACATTTAACCAGACTAAATTACTTTTAATACATTTTTTATCTAGTTTCGACACGTTTCTTACTTGTTCATCAATCTTTCCAATTGCCCACTCACGCAATTAACCAAAGGATTACCCAATACATTTTTAATTTTCAATCGACCCGTTGTCAATGAGCGACAATAACGATTTCGAGGAAGCTTCGAAGTAGTGGAGGTCCCATGGGGAGAGCGGTAATTTGCTAATCATTTGAACTGCCAATTGGCAAAATTGTTCGAAAGACGCCAGACACGAGGAAGAAATTGTCAACGATGGACATGGAGGCATAAGCGAAGGGAGCCGTCATGAGAAAATGAGAAATCCAAGTCACAAAATTGTTCCCGGGTTAAGTAACCAAATACCTATTGGTAGCCACTTTTTGGGATATTGCAACGGCATCGAAGGATGGTCAGAGCTTGGACATTGGAGGGGGCAGTGCCACTGCATCGAAAAGTGAATGGCAGATGAAGCTCCATCGCCTTGGGCTCGAATTGGGTAACATTGCACAGCGGTGGGCGAAACTGTCAGCAATTGTTTTCATTTCTATTTTCATTTTTGGCCTGAGCTCCTTCTGTTGGAAGATGAAGGAGTCCCTGTCGGATGTCTGTCTGATCTCTTCGAGATTGGACAGTCATTGGATTTCCTTTGCCTCAGAGTGTGTACTCTCCTACAAATATGTCAATTATAATTACTGGCCAACTTGCTTCCACAAATATGGGATTGGAGCGTAAGTTTAATGGGTGTTACGAAATTCTTTATTTAAATAATAGTAGGAATACTCTCTATAAAACACATTTAAACAAAATAGTTTAAAAGTCATAGAATTTCTCTAAAAATAAGTGTGTCAGATAATTATAATAATTATTAAAGGAAAAAAGTAATTTAAGGGAACATATTTGACAAGCTAAAATTACAATTCAATATGCCTAGAGGTCTTTAGGTAGGTATATCCCTTTTAAACTTGGAAATTAAGTGTCCTCCTCCAAGTGCAAAGTTAATTTAAGGGCGGAGGGGTTATTTGGCCAGAGAGGTCGTTGCCAGCTCACATGTTAACACTCTTGGCCAACTGGCTTTGGCTTCCTTCTTCTTCTGTTCAGCTGCACAATTGGCCATCGACCTGACTTAGGGGCTTGTTTGACAACTAACGTGGTTACGTGGTCTGCAGCCCACCCCCACCCACATCACTAGTAGCCGTCGCATCGCAATTGATTTCCTGGAAGACCACAAAACGCTGGATGGCATCTTCAGACGGCGAATTGTACGCAGACGCAATGGCAATCGCATCGCGCCAAAGGCCTCCAGCTGGCAAGTGGATAAGTTCGGGGACCCGTGTACCAAGTACGGACCACATGCACCGCATAAATCTTTTCTCATTTACTTTTGCCGAAACTCGGCTCGTGCAAGTTTATTGTAAATACTGCTGTTGCCTTGCGCCGTGTGATTATGTGAGCATTACATACCATTTGGCACGCTGCCACAGCCCAAAATCCAAGTCTAAAAAAATATTTTTAAAAATAAAGGAAGACTTGCACTAGATGACGACATTTTAAATACTCTCACCAAATACATTTTCTTAAGCAGTCATAAAATGTAATGACAAAAATTCCACTACGAACTTTTTAGTATTAAAAACCTTTTAATCGGATTTAAAGTCAACAATTTAATTTTCAATATCTTAAAAAACAAAATTAATTTCATGCCTATGTTAGTTAAATCTTTCGAAAGATACTCAATAGTTGTAGAGATATAAAATTTATCCTGAAGACACTCTGCAACAAGCTATAGCAATGTAATCCTCGTATAATCAAATATGATATATCATGCGTCTTATAAATGATCAATACACTCTATAAGGGTAAAATAACAACTGTGAGGAGCAGGAAGCCAGCCTTGCCACGCTTGCTCCCCATTGACCCCAGATTTTTTTGCCTGCTCGGAGCAAAAGCGGGAAAAAATGCAAAATCAATTTGAAGATTGCTGCTTCGACAGCTGTCTTCATAGTCGTTTTCGTTTCAAAAGACTTCGGTTTGCTGATGGCTCAGTTTGAGTCTTCGTCTGGCTCTGGGTTTGGGTTTGGTTTGGGTCTGAGTTCACTTGGAGCAGTCAACAAGTGGGGGCTTGTCATTGACTGCAGATCGAGGCTGTGGCAAGGTGCTGCGATTGGGGTTAAACTTTAGAGTCAACAAAACGCAAACAGGAGATGGCTGGGCTTATGCAAGAGGAGTCTGCAAATTAAGATTATGGGTATTTGCCAAATATAAGTATATATCTAAGTATACTCAAACACCGAATTTGGGAAATAGCTACTAATAGTTATTATTTTGCATTTAAGACAAATCCATTTGTTTATCGAAAAAATATTATAATAATTAAGAAGATGACTAGAAAAGCCATTTTGATTATACATGTATATATGTGCAAGTTTTCGTTTTTACAATCAATCATTTATAAGTTTTACATAAATGGCAAGGTCATAAAGTCATGTTCAATGGTTAAATTTAATAAATCTTTGTGAATGGGAATCCAAAATAAGTAGCGAAAAATGTTTTTTGTTTAACACACAATACAATAATTTCCCCCCTCATTTGAATTCTTTAAAAAATTCTTTATATTTTAAGCTTGTACATATTTTCCTTTTCTCTTTGTTTTTCCTGTAATTAACATTAATCTGTCTGTTCGAACAATTCCACTCGTATGTTCAAAGAATTCTGATTATTCTCAAAAGCATTCCACAAACGTCCAAGTCAAGTGAACAAAAATGAAAATGGAAAACATTTTTATCAATAATAAGTAGTTGTCAGACATATAAAAACTTCTTACTGTTAAGCGTAACTACACAATATAAGTGTATATTAATTTACATTTTACAATTTATCTTTAAAATTTTAGCAATTAAATTACTAAAAATGAGAAATGATGTAACATTTCTTGAATTTTTTGCTATACTTTTAGTGTACCCACTTGATGGATTCTAACAAAACCCTTTTGCAGTGGCTCATCCCACAGGGGCTTAGCTAATGGAAGGGTCAGTTTACAACCGAATTAGTTTTTGCGGTGGCTCAGAAATGGACTCACCTTGCGTTTAGAGCGGGCCATTCGCTGGTCGCGGGTGTTCTCCGCCTCGCCGGGCGGCCGTTTGCCCCAGACGCGGATGGCGATCCGGGTGTAGGTGAAGACCAGCACCGCCAGCGGCACAACGAACTGCAGCGTGAAGAGGGACAGCGTGTAGTAGTACTCCTGCGTCCGCGAAGGCCACATTTCGCGGCAAATGTATCTGGTGGATGCACGCGCACAAAGGACATCGCATAGAAAGAGAAGAGGGGCGGGAAAGTGCATTAGTTTCAAGTGAACGGATTTGCCGGGCTCCCAAACTCAACTGTCACTAAAGGACAACCGCACATGTGTGCTGGCTGTCATGTATGCCCGGCTTAGTGCGCAATTTCATTTTCATGCTATGCTCTTCAATTTCCTGCCAACAGTGGCAGGAAACTGCTTTCGCCGAAAAATTATTTTATATTTTCTTGCTCTGATAGAGGTTTGTTTAAGGACCCATTTTAAATAACTCTTTCTCTCAGTCTTTAGAATATGACAAAATCGGGCTAAAAAAATCAAATATTTAAGATAACTTTTTTTTTTAAACACCATAATAATTACGAAAAGTCGACCAAAAATTACAAGCTGAGTTGAAACTACAGCTTTTTTGAAAATTAAACCACAATCATTAAGAAGTATGTCTTATGTCGGATGTCTTTAAGAAATGTTATGGACTTAAAAGTGCAGTTTTTGGGCACTTTTTTGCAAAAGCCATAAATAATCGACCCCAAAATACAAACGAAGGTAAAAACATAGATTTTTAGAGAATTAAACCACAATTATTTTCAAGTTTGCCATGTTGTTGGATGTTTTATGAAACTAAAACCGTATTTATAAATATGTATATGGGCTCATATTAAAAAATAACTAAACTATAATTTTATTTCCCAAACAATCGGTCGGGAAAGGACAGACAGACCAAGGACGGACATAAATAGATCGCTATAATAATATATAATATATAATTTATAGGGACGGAAATGTGGCTTTCACTGCATTGCAAACTTTTGAAGGAGTATAATATAATTATAAAATTTGAACCTGCAGATGAGTTTACTATATGCAGTATCCTCTTTGTTTGTCCTTGGGGGCAAATGATTCAAATGCTCCTTGGCGCTTGTCTCCCTGATTTGTTGGTGAATAAAGAAAAATGTATGCAATACATTTTATTTGCCCTCCATTTGACAACGTGTTCCGGCCTTGAGAAATGTCTTCATCCTTCAACCAATCCCCCATCTAAGAATTTTCTCTTTAAGTCGAAATCCGAGGAAAGAGCCAATTAAGACAATTTCATACCCCTACACTTGGAGTAAACTCATAAAGATTTAATTTTTAATATAAGAGAAGTCAAACAAATAATAATATACAATAGTATACAAAATATTTTCATGTATAATACTAGAAAATTGTGAAAATAAAATATATTTTATTATTTTAACATTCCGACAATTGTTGTTTGTGGTACTTACTTTTCGCATTTCTCGTGCCATGGAGACAGAGGCATCTCAAGGCCGGAGACAAGTGGTATTGGGAATGCCGTGGCAAGTGCAACAAACCAAACGCCGCTGATGATTAGTGTAGCATAACTGAAAAAAACGGAAGAAGTCGTGTTTGAGTGGGTTCTGAGAAGATTTTATTCGCTGATAAATATAAAATATGTCTGCTATTCTTAGTCATCCGTAATCGGCTTGCTTTTTGACTCTCAAAGAATACTCTTATAAATTGTTGAACAGCTCATATATTTCCTCCACAACGTGGCGTTTGAGTGATGCTGAAGCTTGACGAAGCATGATAAGCGGACATTAAGCTCTAAGCCTTCAGCTTGTTTTGTTTTGGCTTTAAGAGCGGTAGCGGCGTTCGGGTAAATTACAGTCATGTTGAATAATTGTCAGCCATATTAATGTTATTTCCCCGCAAATATTTGCAGAGGCCACGAAGGATGGATTTCGCCGCCCACAAACACTGCCACACGCACGTACCCGCAAATATTGACGTCAGTATGGAACATACAAAAAATTTGTGTTTTTCCTAGTCAATTTTTTTAGTAAATGAAATGTAACAATACAATAATATAAATAATATTTATATTGAAGGCAATTCTGAAAATATTTCTTACTGAACATTGCGTACCAATTCCGAAAATTAATTGTTAAATTACACTCTTACTATATCTAAACAGAATTCTTAACTACATTAATTATGTTTCAATTTCCATCTGTTAACCTCCCCGTACGCCTAACCGCTACTAAACGTCACTCAAACGTGAAATACACACTCCGGATCCTCAACTCGGAGGGAGATGCGATGGATGTAATCGGAGTGACTCTATGTGATGCCGGGACTTTTGAAGGGCAGCAGCTGTATATATTACCAAACAAATTGACGTCTGCCATTCATGCGGTCAATAGTTGTTGACCAGCCGGCCGTTTTGGATTTTCAGCAAATGCTGAGTCAGGTTCTCGAATTACTATATAAACCAATTAACACGAGGCGACGTGTTTAGACACTGTCTCACTAAAGGCCTGCCGAAACTTCGCCCCTGGGGAGAGTCGTTTAGGTCAATTGGTCAAAGTGGACACCAATGTAAATACCGCTGAGGCCACTTAACGGTGTCCATGCACGCCAATAAATGTCGAGTTTAGCACTTGGAGGGTGAACTTAAAAAGCTTACTTAAATCGTGGCAATGAAACCTTCAAGAAGAAATACTGAAGTACACATTGCCTGCGTGCAAATATGGAAGCTTTAAGTTTTCGGCTTATATGAAATGAGTTAATTTTGGTAATTAATTATACCCTTGCCATAAAGTGCGAAATAAAACGAATGAAATAAGGTGACTTCTGCTCTCAAGCTTTGAAAGCCTATTAGAAGCATAATAAAACGAAAAAATGTTTTAAAAGCTTTATAGTGAAATAAGCAAAAATCTTATCAACCAAAATGGCAATAAATCACCTTTGCACTTTTTCATCAGTCATTTAACGCATAATTAGCTTTTTGTAATAACCAAATATTTTAAAAGCCGTTAAGCCTATGTGAATAAAATTCGTTTGATGTTTTACAGCATTACTGGACGCCAACAACCTACCGTTTTGTGATGCGGGGCCTTAGGGGCCACATGATGGCTATATAGCGATCAATGCTGATGGCCACCAAAGTGTAGGCGGTGACCAGCACGGAGACCGCCTGAGAGTAGTTCACAAAGTGGCAAAGCACCACGCCGAAGGGCCAGTAGTTGAGGATGAACAGCGAGATGAAGGACGAGGGCACGCAGAAAAGGGACATCAATATATCGCCCAGTGCCAAGCTGGCTATAAAGTAGTTGGTAACAGTGCGCATACGAGGCGTTGACTGAACGATGAAGCAAACAGTTCCGTTGCCGATCAGGGCGAAGATGAATATGGGGATGTATAGGAGGTAGACAGTGGTCTTAAAGTAGACACTGGACCACAGGTCCTCCGACTGAATGTCATCGCCGTCGCAACTAAAGTTCATCATCACGGTGATATTAAAGTTCTCCAACTCCAGGCCATTGAGCGTGGTGGTGGATCCATATCCGGTGGTTGCCTCCTCGACCTGCATCTGATGTGTCGTGGCATTGTATAGGAGGGAGGCGGAGTCGGGCAGCATTAGGGACTCCTCCAGGTAGTCCTGTTGCTGCTGATCCATGTACACCCTATTGCTGTCCTCAAGCAACACTCGGCTGCTTCCAAACAGCAGGCTATCATCAAACTCCATTCAAGCGTGTCAATGTAGTAACAGCAAACTCTTAGGCCAACTTTAAGTCCTTGAAAACTTTTTTAAGCATTCTGGACCGAAATCCAGACACTTAAAGTTGACTCCTAGCTGCCATCTGCAAGAAAAAGTATGAAGTTTTGATTAGTTAAGTTTGTATAAAATGTGCAGCACATCATTGCGGCTACTTAATAATTCGCAAGGCATATTTAAACAATAAACATTGCATAGTTTTGGGCTGCTATCATTATAAGAGTTTTGTGGGTTATCTCAGCATAGTAACACAACAAAGCTGAAAAACTACAAATGAATAATTTGTAGGTTTTGAGATGCAGCTGGAAAAAAATTAATTATAATTATCTATTGTTCAAAATTAAACATCAGAAGTATTAAAACTAAATCCGTTTATGAAACTAGACAACATTAAGTATTTTATCCTTTGCAGTATTCTTATTATTATTTTCTTTAAAATGTGTGTTAAATAAATGAATACGGTCCAATTATAATAATTTTACTTTTAAAAAACAATATGTAGATATAAAGCTTTAAATTAAGCCTAATAAATAAATGTTACTCTTAACTCGGAAATATTGTATGATAATTGAATTGATGTAAATTGAGTTGCTCTGGTAACCAATGAAAAGTCAGTGTAACAGCTGCGGATTTCGAACAAGTTAACACGGAAAAACTCGACATTAAATGGATGGGATACAAAAGAAATTTAAGCGTGTCCTTTCGATACAATGACATGCTGCCAGTCGCCGACTCATTTAATTCCATACCATTTACATTAGCTTCACTTCCTTTTAATATCTTGCTGAATGTGGTCAACATTTGACATTCCTGACCACCCAATTGCCTACCCACTGGCATTAAGTGGGTAAATTGTTTATCTCAGCACAATAATGAATATGAGGATTTAGCAAGTATGTGGGAGTGTGCAAAGCCGTTTTTGTCTTTATCTGGCCAGCCATCCTTCTGTGTTGTTTATCAATTATCCCTGCAATTTCCTTGACCCGGGAGTCTTAGACGGAAAATAACATAATCATTTTTAGGAACTTAAAATGTTTAACATTGCTTAGTGTTATTTTGGGCCACTTTCGTATATGTTCTCGTGCAAAAGTTGCAGAATTTACTCATTAAAGTTATTTAAATAATTTAATATACTGAGATGTTCGATAAGCATGCCATGAAAGTAAATTACGCATTGCTTGAAGTGTCATTTGATAACATGGAGTACAAAATGAGATTGCTATAAATGCAAAACCATCAAAATATGTGATTATAGAAATTCTTTAAGAATAGCCTGTCTGAAGTTCAACGATAATTTATTGATTGACAGAAGTTATGATTGCTTTTGCTAAAAAGGCTTTTAAATATCTTATGAATAAAGTTAGCCTATACTACATATATTTCAATATGCCAGCATACAAATTTACGAAAAAATCCCTGGCAAAATCCGGAGCTTTTAAAACCATATTAAGGATTCGGCTGGTAATTAAATTTTTTCACCGATATGTATCCATCATTTACCGAAAACCCCATTAATAAGACATGGAAAATTGTGCGCAGAATGCCAAAAATACGAAAAGTAATTTTATGCTAATAGGGTTCTCGTCGTTAAAAATAGAAGGGAAACTAGAAGGGACAAGAGAGTTCGGAACATGAAAATAATCTGGGCAAAAAAATAAAAATGTAAAATATTGTTAAAAAATCACGTACATGAATGGAATTTGGTCTGTAGATATGTGCGCCTTTAAAAATGTAATAACGACTTAGATTTTGCCGGAAAACAAATCAGATTTTCCGAGCTTACTTGACGGGTAATTTTGTTTAGCGAGCTTTTAGGCTGAGCGTGAAAAGTAGCGACAAAGTCTTCCCCTAGGCACAAACAAAATAAGTAGCCGTCCTGCCAAAATGCATTTCATAAATTCAATTTTCAGCCAAGCAGCAAACATAAAAAATGACAAGGAAAAGAATTTACAATAATGGCCTAGGATTACGACGAATTTAAAGGCCTTAATGGGAAACGGATTTTTGCTTGGGAGAAAATTTGTCTGATAAAACAGGCAGCCTTTATTCTGAAAAATAAAATTTAACTCTGCCCTTAGGTCAGGCAAAAGCTATTGCCAAAGCTGAAAAGCATGTGATGATTCTTAAAAACTTACATAAAATAACTTTCTATTTTTAGAATCTAGGGAGATGGCTCAAATATTTTCGCGAAAAAATAGACAACTGGAAGTAAACTTATAGGCAAAAATTAACGGAAGTGAACTTTAGCAAGCCGAAGCTGTTATAAAATTAAATACTCTTTATTTAGATTTCGATGTTTAAAAAAAATAAAGCTAGGTCGATTTAGTGATAAATTTTTTGATCATTCCTATGGAATCTTTACGATCAGTGGTCTGATATTTATAAAACTAAAACGTATTTCTGAAACAGCTTAAAAATATATATCTCTATATCTCTGAGTATATAAATATATGTTTAATCAACAACTGATGAACTAGTTTGCGTAGACAAATACAAAAAAAAAAAAAATTGAAGAAAATGGTTATGTATATGTGTTACTACAAGATTATGAAAGGAATAATATGTGTATATGGTACACAAAAAGCTATGAAAACTGAGTTGAAACGATTATGATAAGAGATATCGAAAAAGCTATAACGTTGAGAAAACAAAACACCCCGATTAAAGGAAAAACGCCTATAAAGGAAAGGTTTATTCTGCGACAGGAACAAAGTCGGCGTAACGTGCGGCATTTGGTCTATTAAGACAAGAAATATTAGTCTATTGAGACAAGAAATATTGGTCTATTGAGACAAGAAATATCACCAGGGCTTTTCTTCCATAGAAAGAGAAAGGGCAATGTGATGACCTTTAAATACTTTATATGTGCCCTTCACTGTGTTGGATCCCTTTGACTGAAATTAGTATACCCTCTGCAAGGGTATAACAACAAATAGTCACTTCACAGAATGACGTTATATTAAAACAAACTGGAAACAACATTAAAATAAAATTCACTTTTAAGAATTTTAAAATTAAATTTACCTATTACTTATAATCACGTTTTTCTTATAAAAAACGCCAGCTAAAGACAGCCAATCAGTAGATAAAAATGCCATCTGATTCGGATTTCCAAAAAAAACAATTATGGACGTACGCCAATCAGATTAAATTGAATGTACCCGTACCACTTAGTCGGCTAAAGAAATGCCGCTCGATCTAATCTACTGTAGATAAGTCGACCACCATGGGACCTATAAAAGAGCCTGCTTTACAAACTGGACAATCATCAGTTGTGGGTTCTACTGCAATATGAAGACTTTCCTGATTTTGGCAATCTTTGCTCTGGCCGGTGAGAACAGAAGTCTGTAGCTCCTGAGTAACCTCGAACTAAGTTATATATCTCATTATAGTTTCGGCTTATGCTCTGGAGGAATCCGAGCGCGTCAATGGCGAGAACGGCTGGTTCGTTCCCCAGGTGGACGGCTCCCTCGAGTGGGTGGATATGGATGTGGCTGAGGAGTGGATGGAGGCCCAGGAGAAGCTTGAGGGTCGTGGCTTGACCACCGTTCCCGTGAACTTCTACCTGTTCACCCCTTCCAACCCCTCTAGCAGCAAGCACATCTATGCGACCAAGAAGTCCATTAGTGCCTCCAACTTCAACCCCGCACACCCGACCCGCATTGTGATCCACGGCTGGACCCAGAGCTACTTGAACAGCATGAACTCGGACATCCGCAAGGCCTGGCTCTCGAGGGGAGACTACAACGTGATCATCGTGGACTGGGCCCGTGCCCGTTCCGTGGACTATGCCACCTCCGTCATGGCTGTCGCTGCCACCGGAAAGAAGGTCGCCGCCATGATCAACTTCCTGCAGTCCGACTTTGGAATGTCCCTGGATAGCCTGTACGTGATCGGTCACAGCCTGGGCGCTCATGTGGCTGGATATGCCGGCAAGAACACCAATGGTCAGGTGCACACCATCGTCGGTCTGGACCCCGCCCTGCCCCTCTTCAGCTACAACAAGCCCAACAAGCGTCTCAACGCCGACGATGCCTGGTATGTGGAGTCCATCCAGACCAACGGAGGTACCCTGGGATTCCTGAAGCCCATTGGCAAGGGAGCCTTCTACCCGAACGGCGGAAAGACCCAGCCCGGATGCCCCTTGGACGTGACTGGTGCCTGCTCCCACGGACGCTCCTGCACCTACTACGCCGAGGCCGTGTCCGAGGACAACTTCGGAACCATCAAATGCGGGGACTACGAGGCTGCCGTTTCCAAGGAATGCGGAAGCCAATACAGCAGCGTTCGCATGGGAGCTGACACCAACGCCTACATGGTCGATGGTGACTTCTATGTGCCCGTCAACAGCAAGGCCCCCTTCGGCATGATTAACTGATCGCTAAACAATAAACTCTAATGCTCATCAAATATTCACACTTGTGACTTCTTTCTTATTTCTGATCTACAAAAATATCATGGTACCCAATGGCTGTATATCCCGGAAATTGAATCCTGTCTAAGGGACTGCATCAGCTAAATCCATTTATTAGCCTTGTATGCAAGCCAACCCTTCTCAACATGACTTTAAGCATACAAATTTAAATTATAAGCGTACTTTTCGTATTTAAGATTTCAATTATCAAATGTCAATGACGTGGAACCTGGCAAGGTGATGTGGCTGCTGAAAGCTGGTGCTCCACCCTCCATGTTCCTTGAAGCTAAAGAAAAATGATGTAGCTAAATATTTACTATACCCAGACCAGAAAATCATATTTGAACAAAAATTTATAATTAATGAGAAACCAACAAGCGCAATTTTGCCTGGGGCAAAGTCAACAGGCACATATATAGTCGAACTGTAGTAGAGAGCACCATTCAACAGTATTTTAATAGGAAACCGTTCCTTAGCAGGTTGTCTGTGTGTCCTTGTAGCCCAATTAACTCTCGAGTAGTCTAAGTTTTTCAGTTCGAGTGTGCAACGGGTGGGTTAAAAAAAACAGTTAATCTACTTAAGATTTACACAAATAATCAGCTGATAGGATACTTTTGGAACAAACTCTTCAGGCACAAAAAGAGTTAAGTTAGATAAGAGTGTTGCTCAACCTTCAAACAGGAAAAACATCACAACTTTTGTTTGGCTCGAGTCCTTATTTATGGACTGACAACTTTATTGTTTGTTGAGGCTCATTACGATATTGAATTTTATTGTGCCCAAAATTATGCCCCTGCCTCCTGTGGTTTGTGACGTTGTGAAGTCCACTTAAAGCGGGTCTAGAGATGAGATTTAAACTCATGAAACCCTTTTCTGGATTTTAGTTAAGTCGTGAGGATGTAATCTTCTGAAAAGGGATATAATTCATTGAAATTTAATAGAAATGCCTATTATGTCCGTTTGTAAATTCAGTTTTTCATTTAATAAGATTAATCAAATTAAGGAAACCATTTATTAGGCTGGAAAATTCGACACTTTTTAAATATTCACTCAATTTATTATCGAATTGGTGTCCAAACATAGTGTTATGATCCTGTGTGCATAAAGGCAGTTCCACGAAAATAAGCTTAAAGCGTACATTGGTGGTTTGCGGCTTCTGGGAGTGTTCATGTTTGCGTTATTAATTAAATAATTTTTTTTAATAAGCGATGATTAACTTTGACAAGGGTGAAAAATGCCTGAAAGTATGCAGCCATTTTACAATCAGCTCAAAGTTTTAACCACCGTTTAATTATGTTAACCGCATCCTGAAAATGAAAAAAATATGTTTGCTTAAAGTTTCATTGACTTGTTTGGGCCTCATTTACTTAACTCACGTAACAGCATTTGTGAGTATTTGTAACATTGATTGCAAGCCACCAAATAGCCAAGATAACAGAAGTCAAAACAAGAATGCAGTGGAGTGTTAAATGCCCATTGTTAAATGCCCATTCCTACAATTAAGTCCACTCAGCCGCGACTTACAGGAGATTAAGATGGTTGAGGGCACCACCATTGTAATCGATAGCTGATATTTGATAGTGGAAGCTACTGTTGACTGGCTTTCAAGACTCGTGCTCTTCTAGATTGGAATTCCCTGTTCATGAACACAAATTACCATAGTCGTTAACGCAGAACACTCGAAGCAAATCGGCTACGAATGGCACAATTGAAAAGCCAATCATTTGATAAAAGTGACATTAGATTTGAAATTCCTATAAAAAACCATTGCGGTGTGGGGCCCAATCAGATTAATTTAAATATACCCTAAACACCCAGTCAGCCGAAGTAATGCCACCCAATTTAATCTCTCGCCGATAAGACGGCCACCAGGGGACTATAAAAGCAACGGAATTCGCACTCAACGACCATCAGTTGTCGGTTACTATACGTTATGAAAACTTTCCTGATTTTGTCCTTCTTTGCCCTAGCCGGTAAGTTCCAAAAAAAACACATTTTTTAAAGATTTTTTTAATTTTCTGCGTGCTTCAGTTTCGGCTCTTCCTCTGGAGGAATCTGAGCGCATTAATGGCGAAAACGGCTGGTACCTTCCCCAAGAGGATGGTTCCTTCGAATGGGTGGACATGGATGTGGCTGAGAAGTGGATGGAGGCACAGGAACAGCTGGAGAGCCGTGGCCTGACCACCGTTCCAGTGAAGTTCTACCTGTACACTTCCTCGAACCCCACCAAGGGCACTAAGATCACCACCACCACCAATTCCATAGACGCCTCCAACTTTAACGCCGCCAACCCGACCCGCTTTGTGATCCACGGCTGGACCCAGAGCTACACCGCCAGCATGAACAAGGACATCTGCAGTGCCTGGCTCTCCAGGGGAGACTACAACGTGATCGTCGTGGACTGGTCCCGTGCCCGTTCCGTGGACTATGCCACCTCAGTCATGGCTGTCGGTGCCACCGGAAAGAAGGTTGCCGCCATGATCAACTTCCTGCAGTCCAACTACGGAATGTCCCTGGATAACCTGTACGTGATCGGTCACAGCCTGGGCGCCCACGTGGCTGGATATGCCGGCAAGAACACCAATGGTCAGGTGCACACCATCGTCGGTCTGGACCCCGCCCTGCCCCTCTTCAGCTACAACAAGCCCAACAAGCGTCTCAACGCCAACGATGCCTGGTATGTGGAGTCCATCCAGACCAACGGCGGTAGCCTGGGATTCCTGAAGCCCATCGGCAAGGGAGCCTTCTACCCGAACGGCGGACAAAGCCAGCCCGGCTGCGGATGGGATTTGACTGGTTCCTGCTCCCACGGTCGCTCCACCATCTACTACGCCGAGGCCGTGTCCGTGGACAACTTCGGCAGCATTAAGTGCGGAGATTATCAGGACGCCGTTTCCAAGGAATGCGGAAGCACATACAGCGGCGTTCGCATGGGAGCTGACACCAACGCCTACATGGTCGATGGTGACTTCTATGTGCCCGTGAACAGCGAGGCTCCTTTCGGCATGATTAACTAGTAGCAATGCAATAAACTTAAGGTCAATGAAAGTAACACGTTGTTTTTTCTCGGGGACCGCTTGATTAACAAAAAATTGACTTCTGGTTTCTCGGTTGTAAAATGGTGTCAGAATTCGCCTTGGTGGTTTTCAATGAACTTCCTTATCGGATCAAGACGATCATAAACAATAGCTTTGTCCAATCACCTATTTAGATAACCATTAATACAGGTGAATTAGCTCGAGAGTTTAATTGACATTTATGGCTGCACTTGACCATTCTTTATGGTTTCCTTCACTTTTTAGTCATTGCTCAACAATGGTTCATTGATGACGACTTTTTACGAATAACCACAATAACAACTTTTTCAATGCGAAATAGCTTTAAAAAATACGGAGAGAAATTGTGCAGTCCCTTTGAACCATAATATACTACTTCACTAATAATTTACACATATAACTTTCTGTCGGATCTGGTGGTGTGTATCGATTTGTATAAAATGCACTGCTACATCCGCTCAAGTTCAAGGTCAACCACCCATCCAAGTGTATCACCATTTTCAAAAGTTTAGCTACTAAATATATACTCTTATCAACTACGCGGGAGAAAAGTGTACGCGATTATTGTACTTAGTCTTCTAATCGATTGTATCGGCCCTATCTTATTGTTTAGAAGCTGTCACAGCTATCAAGTACTTACTGATATTAAACGGTGATTTCGCCGATAGCTACTGGCCTATAAAAGGCAATGAACAAGTGCCCTCTTCACCAAAATTGTTTGAGACCCCCAAACATGAAGGTGTTTTTTGTCCTAGCCGCTTTATTGGCAGCAGGTAAGTTGTGAAGAACATTCGATTTTAAAAGGTCAAATGTCCTAAATAATCCTTTTTCAGTGAGCGCCCTGCCCATTGAGGAGCGCGTAAATGGCGAGAATGGCTGGTTCATTCCCAAGCTCGATGGAAGCTTCGAGTGGATGGAAAAGCACGATGCCGAGGAGCTGTTGGCCAACGCAGCCCAGATGGAGGGACGCGTTAGCACCAACGCTGTAAACTTCTATTTGTACACCAAGTCGAACCCCACCGACGGCAAAGAGATCAAGGCCAAGGCCAGTTCTATCGACGATTCCCACTTCAACAAGGATCATGGAACCCGCGTCATTATCCACGGCTGGACCCAAAGGTACTCTGACGACATGAACACCCGCATCACCAAAGCCTGGTTGTCCAAGGGCGACTACAACGTGATCGTCGTGGACTGGGCCCGTGCCCGTTCCGTGGACTACGCCTCCTCAGTCCTGGCTGTTCCCGGAGCCGGCGGTAAGGTCGGTGAGATGATCAAGTACCTGCACGAGCACCACGGTCTGTCCTACGATAGCCTGGAGGTGATTGGACACAGTCTGGGAGCCCATGTGGCCGGATACGCTGGCAAGACCGTAGGAGACAAACAGGTTCACGCCATTGTGGGCCTGGACCCCGCCCTGCCCCTCTTCAGCTACGACAAGCCCAACAAGCGTCTGTCCACCGATGATGCCCACTACGTAGAGTCCATCCAGACCAACGGAGGCAAGCTGGGATTCCTGAAGCCCATTGGCAAGGGAGCCTTCTACCCGAACGGAGGAAAGACCCAGCCGGGCTGCGGATTGGATGCCACCGGATCCTGCTCCCACGGACGCTCTGTGCTCTACTACGCCGAGGCCGTCACCGAGGACAACTTCGGAACCATCAAGTGCGGAGACTACGAGGCCGCCGTTTCCAAGGAGTGCGGCAGCACCTACAGCAGTGTTCGCATGGGAGCTGTGACCAACGCCTACATGGTCGATGGCGACTACTACGTGCCTGTGAACAGCGCCGCTCCTTTCGGCAAGATTAACTAATAGCTAAGGAATAAACTTATGGCAAATGAGAGTATAACTGAGTTTATATTTGAGGGATATGGATCTTAAAAACCAGCCAAGGGCAGCTGTAATACAAAACTGTTTTTAAAAACGTGTAATTTACCAACATATCGGAGCAATATTCCCTATGGGGCGTGAAAACGATATCGTTAGAGTTATGTTGAAATACATTCCAAACAAAATACTAATACTAAGTTCGTGCTAAATAAGATCAAATTAATGCTTTTAAGATTGGCAAAGAGTTGGTAGTATAAATAATATGGTACCTATAGTCTATTATAGTCATAACACAGTACACTACAATGATTTAAAGTAAGAGGAATATAGTTCCTTGTAATTCGGTTAGGCTCAGAGAAGTTTAGGTTAATAAGATTACAAATAAAAGTATTGCCAAGCATCGTCCTACGGTTGGATAAGGATGGTAGATTAATTAAAAAAAGTCTCCTAGAGTATGATGGTAATGTAAGGACTAGTTAAAATAAAAAGTATTTGAAACATAGTGTACATCGAATTCCTTTGACCACCTTTTGATATGAATGGTCACCAAACTTAAGTTTTAGGTCCAAAAGGACGCCAAGGTCATCAACATGAAAATTTGTTGTCAACGCACAACCACCTAGCGTATACGTAGCATATTTCGGATTCACCCGAAAAAATTTCCTTACTTCACACTTATTCCGCTATTTAAATCGAAAAGATTTTCACAACACCATGTTGGATGTCTGAACTGCAGGAAATTTCGCTAAGTTTGTCACCGAAGACTTCCGCCCTATAAATCCATGTTGACATGGAGATATAATTGATCTTCAAAGATGTTGCAAGTGGGGTGTAATAACGTTTTTGAAAAGCTTTGAGATGGCGGACAACTTGGAAATACCTCTTTAAATGCCTATATTTGAAAATATACAAATGGCTCGTTCCAAAAGAATTTGCAATTGGATCAGGGGTTTCTTTAAAGAACTTCCTTATCAAATTCAAACAATAATAAGCCATAGTTTTGACCAAACACCCATGAATGCTTAACAGTTTTTTTTGACATTTGGGATTTTATTGACTTTTTATACCCTTGCAGAAGGTATTATAATTTCAGTCAAAAGTTTGCAACGCAGTGAAGGAGACATTTCCGACCCTATAAAGTATATAAATTCTTGATCAGCATCACCAGGAGAGTCGATCTAGCCATGTCCGTCTGTCCGTCCGTCTGTCCGTCCGTCTGCCTGTCCGTCTGTCCGTCCGTCTGTCCGTCCGTCTGTCCGTTTCTACGCAAACTAGTCCCTCAGTTTTTAAGCTATCTGCTTAAAACTTTCCCAAAAGTTGTCTTTCTTTTGCAGGTAGTATATAAGTCGGAACGAGCCGGATCGGCCGACTATATCCTATAGCTGCCATATAACTGAACGATCGGAAAGGCCATAACTTTGGTGTTTGTAAAGTTAGGAAGTTGGGATTCTGTGGGTTTTATGTTTGGGCAATCAATTGGACCTACCAATTTTCATAAGGATCGGCTGACTATAAGGATCGGCCGACTATATCCAGAGCTGCCTTATAACTGAACGATCGGAAATGCCATAGCTTTGGTGTTTTTTAAGTTAGGTATTTTCTATGGGTTTTATATTTGGCCAATCAATCCGACCTACCAAATTTCATAAGGATAGGCCGACTATATCTTATAGCTGCCATATAACTGAACGATTGGAAATGCCATAACTTTGGGGTTTTTAAAGTTCGGAAGTTGGGATTTTTTAAGAGTATTAAGAATTCATCAATGAACAATTTTGAAGAATATAATTTACAGAATATTCTGCAAGGGTATTTCAACTTGGGCTCGGCCGGAAGTTAGCTTTCCTTTCTTGATTAGTCGTTGCTTAACAATGGTTATTGCCAAGAACAGCAACTGCAACTTTTTAATTGCTAAAGTGCTGTGTAATCCCGCTAAATCTAGAATACTATTCTCAACTAATTTTCTAAAAATATAACATTCTGTCAGTGCTGAAGGCATCTGTTCCGTTTGAATGATATGCTCTTCCTCATCCGAACGTTATCATAGTTTGATGCAAGCTCGAAAGCTTAACACGTGCACTCTTCCACGGTTATCAACAACGCAGGAGAAAAACAAACTCTATGACGATATTATGTGCTCTTATCGTTTGTTTTTCCCTATCTTATTGGTCGGAATCTGTCAGAGCTTATAAGTGTTCACTGATATAAAACGGGGCAAACTCCGGACCTATAAAAGGCGTTGAAAAGTGTCCTCTTCACCAAAGTTGTTTGAAACTCCAATATGAAGGTGTTTTTTGTTCTAGCCGCTTTGTTGGCAGCAGGTAAGTTGTGAAGAACATTTCTTTTTAAAGGGCTATATGTTCTAAGAAAACTTTTTTTAGTGAGCGCCCTGCCCATTGAGGAGCGGGTAAACGGCGAGAATGGCTGGTTTATTCCCAAGCTCGATGGAAGCTTCGAGTGGATGGAAAAGCAAGATGCCGAGGAGCTGTTGGCCAACGGAGCCCAGATGGAGGGACGCATCAGCACCAACGCTGTAAACTTCTACCTTTACACCAGGTCGAATCCCACCGACGGCAAGGAGATCAAGGCCAAGGCCAGCTCCGTGGACGCTTCCCACTTCAACAAGGATCGAGGAACCCGCTTCATTATCCACGGCTGGACTGGCCGGTACACCGACGATATGAACACCCGCACCACCAAAGCCTGGTTGTCCAAGGGCGACTACAACGTGATCGTAGTGGACTGGGCCCGTGCCCGTTCCGTGGACTACGCCTCCTCAGTCCTGGCTGTTCCTGGAGCCGGCGGTAAGGTCGGTGAGATGATCAAGTATCTGCACGAGCACCACGGACTCTCCTACGACAGCCTGGAGGTGGTTGGACACAGCCTGGGCGCCCATGTGGCCGGATACGCTGGCAAGACCGTTGGAGACCAACAGGTCCACACCATTGTGGGTCTGGACCCCGCCCTGCCCCTTTTCAGCTACGATAAGCCCAACAAGCGTCTGTCCACCGATGATGCCCACTACGTGGAGTCCATCCAGACCAACGGAGGCAAGCTGGGATTCCTGAAGCCCATTGGCAAGGGAGCCTTCTACCCGAACGGAGGAAAGAAGCAGCCAGGCTGCGGATTGGATGCCACCGGATCCTGCTCCCACGGACGCTCTGTGCTCTACTACGCCGAGGCCGTCACCGAGGACAACTTCGGAACCATCAAGTGCGGAGATTACGAGGCAGCCGTTTCCAAAGAGTGTGGAAGCACCTACAGCAGTGTTCGCATGGGAGCTGTGACCAACGCCTACATGGTCGATGGCGACTACTACGTGCCTGTGAACAGTGCCGCTCCTTTCGGCAAGATCGAATAGAGTCCTGCAAACATATTTGTTATACAAATAAAATACTCAAATGCAATGCATACTCCGAAATGTATTCAATTTGACTATCTTTTTGGGGGCAATAGCTCAAAATATAGTAATTGAAATGTCATATCATGCTGATATTAATAAATTTAAATTACATCTAAGTTATTTTGCATCCAAGAGCACCCTAAGCAATCTTATTTAGGTGGCAATAATTAGTTCTTGGAGGCGAGTAATGTTAACCTCTAACTTTCACTCAAATCACCTATTGATTTGGAGCACCAGCCACTGCTTCACAAAGTACTTAAAACTGAAGTGTACTGGGATTTTCAAACACTTGAAGTCCCTCAAACATAATCGAAATCATCTTGCTAGCTATTGATTAAATTTATCAAATAGATTAAATATATTTTTAGATCTACTTGCGTGGTTTGTTGATTTCGACAAAGACTTTTTGTCTTGTCACACTGCTCACGTGTTCAAATTAAACTGTGGTTTACAAATATTATCATTGATAACCTTTTAATACCAGTATTAAACGATAATATGAACATATAAATAGAACGTTTTAATGATAAGTTACAGCCTATATAAACGCTGGTTAGGAATGGTTCCTTCAGCATATTCAGCAGAGATACCAAAATGAAGAGGTTCGTGGTTCTAGCAGCATTTTTGGCAGCAGGTAAGTTTAAAGAAGTATTTAAAATATTGTTCGGGCTAATAAGAATGTTTGTATTATTCTAGTAAGTTCACTTCCTATTGAAGAACGTGTCAATGGCGAAAATGGCTGGTTTGTGCCTCAGAAAGATGGAAGTTTTGAGTGGATGGACATGAATGATGCCGAAAAACTCTTAGAGCACAATGCGCCAATCGAAGGGCGTTCCAATGATGTGTCCTTCTATCTCTATACCAAACAAAACCCGACTGAAGGCAAGGAAATCCGGTCCGATGCGTCCTCCATTCAAGACTCGCATTTCGATAAGAAACACGGCACTCGTTTTGTAATCCACGGATGGGGTGGGCGCTACACCGATAGCATGAATGTCAAGATCACCAAGGCGTGGCTTTCGAAAGGCGACTACAACGTGATCGTGGTCAACTGGGATCGTTCCCAATCCTTCGACTATGCCTCCTCGGTGATAGCTGTTCCTGGAGCTGGAACCAAGGTGGGAGAAATGATTGAGCACCTGCACCACCATCACGGTATGTCTCTGGAGACTCTGGAGGTTATTGGTCACAGTTTGGGTGCCCATGTGGCTGGTTATGCGGGAAAGAAAGTGGGGGATAAGAGGGTGCACACAATTGTGGGTCTGGACCCTGCCATGCCCCTCTTCAGCTACGACAAGCCCAACAAGCGTCTGTCCACCGAAGATGCCTTCTATGTGGAGTCCATCCAGACGAATGGCGGCTTAAAGGGATTTCTGAAGCCCATTGGCAAGGGCACTTTTTACCCGAATGGCGGAAGGAAGCAACCAGGATGCGGCGATGACATCGGAGGTCAATGCTCACACGGACGCTCCGTGACCTACTACGTGGAGGCAGTCACCGAGGACAACTTTGGGACCATCAAGTGCAAGGACTACCAGGATGCACTGGCCAATGAGTGCGGCAGCACCTACAGCAGTGTTCGCATGGGAGCTGTGACCAACGCCTACATGGTCGAAGGCGACTTCTACGTGCCTGTGAACAGCCAGGCTCCCTTCGGCAAGATCGAATAGAGATCTGCGTTTTCATTTGTAATATGAATAAAACCACCAAAAAGTCTGTTAGTTTTCTTTTATTTGTCTCTCTCTAGCTCGATTGACTCGATAGCTTAACAATTAAAGTATTTAATAAAGTACCTTAATTACTTTGAGCTTCATAAATAATCTTATTTTATTTAAGTACCCTTTGTTCAGATTAAAAGAATTTGTAATTTGTTGTTGGAGTTTTAATATTGTCTTATAGTGTACTTCTAACTGAAGTGAACTGTACGATAAAGTCTTGCTCTTGATAATTAAATAACTTTGCCTGGTTGAACTGAACTTTTTTTGTCACATATACATATTTTTAAGTGTACAGTGCATTTTAGGGAACACTTAGGCTATCATTTAAAAAGTATATAGCTTGTAAATGATATTATTATCATATATATACCACTATTAAGGATGGTCTTTCTGTCGCAATCTCAAGAGTGTACGCTATCGATAACTTACAACCTATATAAGCGCATGTAAAAAACTTGTCACAATAGAATTTGCTGATCCATCAATATGCAAGTTTTTGTAGTTCTTGCCATTTTTTTGGGAGCAGGTAAATTTTTATTAGTTCCTTAAATGGTATAATTCAATGCAAAAGGAAACTTTTCATTTTTAGTAAGCTCACTTCCTATTGAGGAGCGTGTCAATGGCGAGAATGGCTGGTTTATACCTCAGGAAGATGGTAGTGTTGAGTGGATGGACAAAATGGAAGCAGAGAAACTGTTAGACCATAGAGCTCGGACTAAAGGTTCTTCGAATGAAGTGTCCTTCTATCTCTATACCAGAAACAACCCTACGGAAGGCATAGAAATCGAGAACGAGGCGTCCTCCGTTCAAGATTCGCACTTCGATAAGGGGCTTCCCACTCGCTTCGTGATCCATGGATGGAAAGGACGGTACACTGATAGCATGAATGTCGATATCACCAAAGCCTGGCTTTCGAAGGGGGACTTCAACGTGATCGTTGTTAACTGGGACCGTTCGCAATACGTAGACTACGCCATGTCGGTACGAGCAGTTCCTGAAGCTGGTAAAAAAGTGGGAGAGATGATCGAGTACCTTCACGAACATCATGATATGTCGCTGGACACTCTGATTGTTATTGGACACAGTTTGGGCGCCCATGTGGCCGGCTTTGCAGGAAAGCAAGTGGGGGATAAAAGGGTTCACACAATTGTGGGACTGGATCCTGCTTTGCCTCTTTACAGCTACGATAAACCGGACAAGCGTCTGTCCAGCGAAGATGCCTTCTATGTGGAGTCTATCCAAACCAATGGCGGAGTCAAGGGATTTGTAAAACCTATTGGAAAGACCACTTTCTACGTGAGTGGAGGAAGACGGCAGCCAGGATGCGGCGTGGATGTCGCAGGAACCTGCTCCCACGCACGTTCCGTGCTCTACTACGCAGAGGCAATCACGGAGGACAGCTTTGGTTCCTTTAGATGCCAGGACTACCAGGCTGCCCTGGCCAATGAGTGTGGCACCACCTACAGCAGCGTTCGCATGGCTGCGGATCAGAATGCCTACGTGGTGGAGGGCCACTTCTACGTGCCAGTAAACAGCGAGGCTCCATTCGGCAAAAACTGAATAGATGCCAATGAAAAATAAATAAATATCAATAAAATGAACTACCAAAAATCAGGCGGTCTATTTGTGTCGGTTAATCTCCATCGCGATAGAAGTCTCAGGGGGATCTAATCACAGCCAGAGTACCAATTGTTTTGACGCACGTCACTCCATATGGATTGGCCGACCCATTCTGTTTTGAATGCGAGTCGCCATTCAAGAATGGTTGAGTAAGAGAAAGTCATGGTCACGTTGTTTTTAGATAATCTTAAGTTTACTTTTGATTCAAAATATTATTATCAGTCATATTTATTGGTAAATGCATTTTCTTTTATTTCTAGAAAAAGATTGTCTTGTCTGTAAAACATTGTAAGCTAAAATACTTAGGTAGAATATTCATTTTAAAATCTCATTGTAATAGCACTTTAAATATTAAACATATATTCAAATTATATTTAAATACCTGGTCATTACTGACAAAGATAATTTAAAGCTATTGTTGACTTTATAAAATAATCGTAAATAATTAAAGAACTGATGAGATTATGATTGTATATATATACTCTACCAGCTATGTTTTTGTGTTTACTAACACTTATTGATTGCAATTGACGAATTGATTAAGCAAGTAACAGCAGATAATTTTGGTAACAACTTTAGGTAGAAAACTATTTGCGATTTGGAAAGCTAAATGGTTGCTCAAGAAATTATCGGACACTTTTTTTGGGAATACGAATACAATAGAATTATATATTTTTTAGTATCCGCCCTGAAGTTATGTTATGACGAAGACATTTTCTTGATTAAAATTGACGAGTTGATAAACTATCTGACCACATGCAGATGATAATAGCGCTGATTGAAAAAAAATCAATACTGATGATTTTGTTGCCTATCTTGAACGTTACCTACTTCAAAGAGCCACGCGGCCGAAAAAAAATAAATTCAATCCAATTAAAATCAAGATGGACATTCTACTTAGACTAGATTTGAGGAACACATGTTCCGCTCTTCGAACCCTCGACCACGACCCTATCGGGAGTGTTTAATGGTGCGAGTGTCCAATCCAGTGGCCTATCTCAAGTGGTGCGCTCCAGTATGTCTGAGATTGGATCGGACGATCGCACCCACCATCCATATAAAGAAGACCTTTTGCCACCAACAGCTGCTAGTTGAAGTCGACTTTGACGCAAAGATGAAACTGTTTTTGGCGCTGGTCTTTTGTGTGCTGGCGGGTAAGTTCAGGACAAATTAATTACTCGTATGAACAGGGGTCATGTTATATTTTTAAAAGTTTGTATCAGGTAGAAGAAATCTTTTTCGACCATATAAAGAATTTGGCCTTTACTTTCCTGAATAAAAAAGCTTTCAAAATAAACATCTCTTCACAGAATTTCGGCCTGCCTGTACATATATTTTTGTTTCTTATGTTAATTGATACGAGCGAGCACTCGACTTTATGAGAAATTTAATTAAAGTTACTATTAAACTTGCATTTAATAGCACCACGTATTTGATATTTTCAGCTAACGCCTTGGAGGTTCGTGAGAATGGTGAGAACGGTTGGTATGTGCCCCAGGCCGATGGAACCATGGAGTGGATGGACCGCGAATTCGCCGAGGCCTACTTGGAGACCAAGAACCGCATGGAGGGTCGCAACGTCCTGAACCCAGTGACCTTCTACCTGTACACCAACTCGAACCGCAACTCTCCCCAGGAGATCAAGGCTACCTCTTCTTCGATCTCTGGCTCGCACTTCAATCCCAACCACCCAACTCGCTTCACCATCCACGGATGGTCCTCCAGCAAGGATGAGTTCATCAACTACGGAGTCCGCGATGCCTGGTTCACCCACGGCGATATGAACATGATTGCCGTGGACTGGGGCCGCGCTCGCTCCGTGGACTACGCTTCCTCCGTTCTGGCCGTTCCCGGAGTCGGTGAGCAGGTTGCTACTTTGATCAACTTTATGCGCAGCAACCACGGTCTGAACTTGGACAACACCATGGTGATTGGTCACAGCTTGGGTGCCCATGTCTCCGGCTATGCCGGCAAGAACGTGAAGAACGGCCAGGTGCACACCATCATCGGTCTGGACCCCGCCCTGCCCCTCTTCAGCTACGATTCGCCCAACAAGCGTCTGAGCTCCACCGATGCCTACTACGTAGAGTCTATCCAGACGAATGGTGGAACCCTCGGATTCCTGAAGCCCATCGGCAAGGGAGCCTTCTACCCGAACGGGGGAAAGAGCCAGCCCGGATGCGGTATTGATCTGACCGGATCCTGTGCCCACAGCCGATCGGTGATCTACTACGCCGAGTCCGTGTCCCAGAACAACTTCCCCACCATGCGCTGCGGCGATTACGAGGAGGCTGTGGGCAACCAGTGCGGTAGCTCCTACAGCTCCGTCAGGATGGGGGCGACCACCAACGCCTACATGGTGGCCGGAGATTACTACGTTCCCGTTCGTAGCGAGGCTCCCTACGGCATGGGTAACTAAGTTAATTTACAAATAAATAAATTGAGTTAAAGCTCTCTGAGCAAAAGCAATTCGTCGTGAGCTTTCATTTTGGTATATTCCGGGTAACTACTTTGGAGCTAAAGTTTGGGTTATGGCGGTATGACACAAATTTTAGTGGCTAAATAATGTATTAATTTAGAAGAGATTAAAGAGCTTTTAAAAGTATTTGGTTAAGAGTGTAAATATGAAGAATTTAACCTTTTGAAAAACATTGAGTTTTAATTGAGATCACATAACAATATATCATTCTGTATAGAGTTAAGAGTAATTTCGTGGAATAATAAAAATATGTTCTTAAATAAAATACTATGAGCTGTTTCCCTTGTGAACAAAGACTTATTATTATTTTTATTAAGACAATGCTATATTTATTTCAATAATATATTGGTAAATGAATCATGCTTGTATCTTGGAACTGAAATCTCATCCGTTAAAATTGTGAAACCCAAGTTGTAGTTTCCAAGAACTCTGGGTCTGTGCGTTATTTAAATCGCACTGATTATAACCGATCTAATCACTTTGTTGTTGCGAAGATTTTGATTTTTATTCGACTTATGCGGTCTGAAGGTATAAATAGCAGTACCAGGTGCGACAATTGGAACAATCGAAAAAATAGCTTCAACTATGAAATTGTGCTTCCTAGTGCTAGGCTGCGTGATAGCAGGTAAAGACTTTGCACTTTGAAAGAATGCCATACTTGACCGTGAATTGTATATAGCTAGCGCCTGGCCTGTTGATCAACATTCGGTACGAGTCCACGGCATTAATGGATGGTATGTCCCTCAAAAGGAGGGTGGCCTAAGATGGGTTGGCAAAACAGAGGCGGAGAGGCAATTGGAATACTACGAGACTCAGGAGGCTTTAAACGGTCGTCTGTTCAGCAACTCGGTTAATTTTTATCTGTACACACTGAACAATCCCAGCACTGGACAGCAGATTAAGACCACCAAGGCTTCTATTGATGCCTCATTCTTTAATCCAAGTAACCCAACGAGGTAAGGTTCTTAAAGACATACATATTTTGATTATAATACTAACTAATGTTATTGCAGGATCACCATTCACGGCTGGAACTCAAACTACAGAGATGGTGTGAACACCAGGGTTGCCGATGCCTGGTTCCAGTATGGCGACTACAACATGATTGCCGTGGACTGGTCGCGTGGTCGTTCTTTGGAGTACGCCACCTCGGTCTCTGGAGCCCCGGGAGCTGGAAAGAAAATCGCCGCCCTTGTGGATTTCCTGGTTGAGGAATACGGCATGCGATTGGACACACTGGAAGTGGTTGGCTTCAGTTTGGGTGCCCATGTGGCTGGACACACTGCCAAACAGGTGACCACCGGCAGGGTGGGCAAGGTTGTGGGATTGGACCCGGCCTCCCCCTTCATCAGCTACTCCAAGACTGAAAAGCGTCTGTCGAGCGATGATGCCGAATATGTGGAGTCCATCCAGACAAATGGTGCCATCTTGGGCTTCACTCAGCCAATTGGCAAGGCTGCCTTCTTCATGAACGGAGGTAGGTCCCAGCCCGGTTGTGGAATCGATATCACCGGCAGTTGTTCGCACACCAGAGCTGTTCTGTACTACGTGGAGGCACTCCTGTGGAACAATTTCCCTTCGAAGAAGTGCGAGACCTACCAGGATGCCAACAAGAACGCCTGTGGCGATACATACAGCTCTATCTTGATGGGTGCCGTAGTAAACGCGATTGTGGCTGAGGGTATCTTCTATGTCCCAGTAAACAAGCAATCTCCATATGGCTATGGAGAAATAAATAATGGTGGCGAAGAAACGACTGCTCCTCCTGCGGTTACCACTACCGAGCAGTCCTCTACAGGCGCTCCAGAGGACTCAACAACCGAAGAACCTGAAGAGGTATCTACAACACCCAAAAAACCTGAAGAGCCATCTACGCCTAAAGAACCCGAGGAGTCAACTACAGCTGACCCAGAAGAGTCAACAACCGACGAACCCGAAGAAGTCTCTACAACAACCAGAAAGCCTGAAGAACCATCTACAACTGTAGAACCCGAAGAGTCGACTACAGCAGCTCCGCAGGACTCAACAACCGAAGAACCTGAAGAAGTATCTACAACACCCAAAAAGCCTGAAGAAACATCTACGACTGAAGAACCCGAGGAGTCGACTGCAGTCGCTCCAGAGGACTTAACAACCGAAGAACCTGAAGAGGTATCTACTACACCAAAAAAACCTGATGAGCCATCTACAACTGAAGAACCCGAGGAGACGACTACTGCTGATCCAGAGGAGTCGACAACCGAAGAACCTGAAGAAGTCTCTACAACAACCAAAAAGCCTGAAGAGCCATCTACAACTGTAGAACCCGAGGAGTCGACTACAGCCGCTCCAGAGGAATCTACAACCGAAAAACCTGAAGAGGTATCTACTACACCCAAAAAACCTGATGAGCCATCTACAACTGAAGAACCCGAGGAGTCGACTACAGCCGCTCCAGAGGAATCTACAACCGAAGAAACTGAAGAAGTCTCTACAACAACCAGAAAGCCTGAAGAGCCATCTACAACTGTAGAACCCGAGGAGTCGACTACAGCCGCTCCAGAGGACTCAACAACCGAAGAACCTGAAGAAGTCTCTACAACAACCAGAAAGCCTGAAGAGCCATCTACAACTGTAGAACCCGAGGAGTCGACTACAGCCGCTCCAGAGGAATCTACAACCGAAGAACCTGAAGAGGTTTCTACCACACCCAATAAACCAGAAGAGCCATTGACAACTGACGAACCCGAGGAGTCGACTACAGCCGCTCCAGAGGACTCAACAACCGAAGAACCTGAAGAAGTCTCTACAACAACCAGAAAGCCTGAAGAGCCATCTACAACTGTAGAACCCGAGGAGTCGACAACCGAAGAACCCGAAGAGGTCTCTACGACTACCAAAAAATCTGAGGAAGAAACTACCGCAGCACCAGAAGAGTCGACTACTCCTGCACCAGAAGATGGAAACTCAAAAACCGATGAACCAGAGGATATTTCCACCACTGCCGCTCCTGAGGATCCTACAACAACCGCTATTCCCACCGAGCGACCTTCAACAACTGCAGTTCCGGAAGATCCCACCACCACCGTGGCTCCGGAAATTCCACCAACAAACTCACCTACAGATGACAATACTGTTCCTGGGGGCACCAAGAACATATTCATTTTCAACGTCTTTTTAGTGAATGTTAAAATCGATAATCATTAAACAAGACGAATTTTGTTAAAAGCCGGTCCGCTGGGCCTACAAATTTTGCTATAAAACCAAAGCAATGTCCCATTTCTACTAATCGCTCAAAAAAGAGCAGTATGTGGCAGCGAGTGGGGTATATTTTAATTAAGGTTAAGGCGTCATTCTTTGGGTCCGAATCTATTGTCGCAATAGTAATGAATCAGGGAAAAGCATTGACGGAACTTCCGGGGTAGTTCACATTTAATAGTGACAATGATAGCTAAATCCATGTTATAATTCTTATTATCAATCTATTATCTGATAAAGATTGAGACAGAGAACATGCTGACTAGTACAAAAGTTTTCTTATCGCATTACCACCAGTCACTGCTGTTTTCGATGACGGCAATAAAAAACTTTCCGAAAAGTCCCAGCTACCAAATGGCTACTTACCAATTAATTTGATTTATTAATTTGGAACTTATCGTATGAGCTTATTTATTATTCATGCCAATTTATTCGTCTATAATATGAGTATAATTTTCCGGATGTATTTTTTAGAAAAAGCGCCATTATTATACCCGTTACTCGTAGAGTAAAAGGGTATATTGTATTCGTGCAAAAGTATGTAACAGCTAGAAGGAAGCGTTTCCGACCCTATAAAGTATATATATTCTTGATCAGGATCACTAGCCGAGTCGATCTAGCCATGTCCGTCTGTCCGTCTGTCGTCCGTCTGTCTGTCCGTCTGTCTGTCTGTCTGTGTCTGTCTGTCTGTCCGTAGAACGCGAGATCTCGGAAACTATAAGACTAGAAGATTGGCATTTGCATGTAGATTTTAGAAGTTCCTATGCAGCGCAAGTTTGTTTCAAAATGGTGCCACGCCTCCTTTAACGCCCACAATCGCTTATATACGATTTTAAAACTTTAAATATTTCGGAAAAGTAAAAATGCAGTTTTATTGTGTTTATCAATACCTATCGAAATGTAGAAGAAATTTTTCAAATCGGACCATTCGTTAAAAAGTTATGCGTGATCAAAGTTTCTATCTCCATCTCCCTCGCACTCCCTTTACCTGAGTAACGGGTATCTGATAGTCGGGGCAACCGACTATAGCGTTCTCTCTTGTTTTTATCGTCTTCTTTTCCAAGGGTTTTGCTTTCAGGTTTACTAGTTGTCATCTTATCACCTAGGAGCAATTCCAGAACATTATTGCTAGATTGAAAGTCGACTTTACTTATGTTGAGAGTAATACTCGTAGTATTTCAATCCTGTATTTACGCACACTTCATAAACGTCAACAATGCAATCTCTTTGGGGCACGCTAAAATAACTTCCAGAAGGACACTTCAAGTTTTGGACCTCACCTCGAATGCATTGTCTGTAGCCAGCACAATCCTGGGGATCTTCTTCGCGAAGTCCTTCCACACAATCTTCGATATTAGTGACACAAATACCCCTCCTATCCACCAAACAGGCCTTCAGTTGGGGCTCGTAGTAGGCACCACTGGGACACAGTCTTTCCTTTAGTACTCCATCTATGCATTTCATGTACCCTGCACAATTATTGGGGTTTAGTTTTAGCTGTCCTTCTCGGCATTTTGGAAGTGACTCAATGCACAATCCATTGACGTCCAATACGCAGGTTTTATCGGATAGGAATATCTGCTGATCAGAATCACTAGATTGCAAATCGGTAAAACTGTTCTCTTCTGTCTTGACACACACTTTATATTCATCAACAAGGCAATCCCTCTCGGCCACATTGAAGTAACTTCCGCTGGGACATCTGCGACTTTGAACCTGACTTTCAATGCACTGTCTGTATCCAGCGCAGTCCTGTGGATCTTGTTCGCGAACTCCTTCAATACAAAATTTAATATTAGTGATACACATAGCACTACTATCCACAAAACAGGCTTTCAAATTGGAATCGAAGTAAAAGCCACTAGGACACAATTGCTCCTTTAGTGTTCCATTTATGCATTTAAGGTAACCTGCACAGTTATTGGGATCCAATTTCTGCTGTCCTTCTGTGCACTTTGCAAGTGGGTCGAAAGTGGGCAGCTGCAGAAAAGGAACAGTTGTCGGCAAATGGCCGACAGTACTCTGCGCATATTTTATAATATCCGTGTATTGATTTAATTTAGGAACAATACCATCCGTAAATTGATGTAAATCAGTGCTTTCGGTGGATTGTTCTAGTTTAGCAACAGTGCTCTCCGTATATTGATACAAATCTGCAGTAGTGCTATCGGTGAATTGATTGAATTCAGCAACAGTACTGTCCGTATATTGATCCTGATCTGCAACAGTGCTTTCAGTGTATTGACTTGATTCAGCAACAGTGCTCTCCGTATATTGATACAAATCTGCAAAAATGCTTTCGGTGTATTGACTTAATGCAGCAAAAGTGCTCTCGGTATATTGATATAAATCTGCAGTAGTGCTTTCGGTGAATTGACTTAAATCCGCAACAGTACTCTCCGTATATTGGAAAAGATCTACAACAGTGCTTTCAGTATATAGACTCGATTCAGCAACAGTGCTCTCCGTATATTGAAGCAAATCTGGACCAATGCTTTCAGTGTATTGACTTAATTCTGCAACAGTACTCTCCGTATATCGAAAAAGATCTACAACAGTGCTTTCAGTGTATGGACTCAATTCAGCCACAGTGCTCTCCGTATATTGATATAAATCTGCAGTAGTGCTTTCGGTGAATTTATTGAATTCAGCAACAGTACTTTCCGTATATTGATCCGGATGTGCAACAGTGCTTTCAGTGTATTGATTCGATTCAGCAACAGTGCTCTCTGTATATTGATGCAAATCTGCCCCAATGTTTTCAGTGTATTGACTTAAATCCGCAACAGTACTCTCCGTATATTGGAAAAGATCTAAAACAGTGCTTTCAGTATATTGACTCAATTCAGCAACAGTGCTCTCGGTAAATTGATATAAATCTGCAGTAGTGCTTTCGGTGAATTGAGTTAACTCGGTAACAATACTCTCCGTATATTCATCCTGATCTGCAACAATGCTTTCAGTGTATTGACTTAGGTCTGCAACAGTACTCTCCGTGAATTTTAGCAAATCCTTAATAGAACTTTCCGTGTATTGAGTTATTTCAGCCACAGTACTCTCTGTATATTGATCCTGATCTGCAACAGTGTTTTTAGTGTATTGACTCAATTCAGCAACAGTACTCTCCGAATATTGATGTAAATCTGAAACAGAACTTTCCGTGTATTGATTTGGTTCGGTCACAGTACTCTCAGAGTTCTGATGGAAATCGGAAATTGTACTTCCGGTATTCTGATGGAAATCACCAACAGAACTCTCCTTATATTCATGTTGTACTTCAATCTTGTGTTGTACCGCTTCCGACTTCCTACACACTTCACCAGCATCAATGAGGCAATCTTGTTGAGTCACATTGAAGTATCTCCCAGGATCGCACTTCATATATTCAACCTTACCTCGTATGCATTGCGTGTACCCAGAGCGATCCCGGGGATCTTTTTCTCGAAATCCTTCAAAACAAAGTTTGATGTTAGTGACACAAGCACCATCACTGTCGGGCAAACATGCTTCCAGTTTGAAATCATAATAAGTGCCACTGGGACACTGCTCCTCCACGAGTTCACCACCGATGCACTTAAGGTATCCTGCACAGTTTTTGGGATCCAAATAAACCTGTTCTTCTGTGCATCTTACCGGTGCCCCAACACAAACGCCATTCCCATCGACAACACAGCTTTTCAAAGTGGATTCAAAATAACTACCATTGGGACAACTTTTAGTTTCCAGTTTTCCGTTTTGACAGGTAAGATAACCAGCGCAGTTATTAGGAGCTACTTGAACCTCTCCTTCACTGCAATGATTCGAGGAAGTCGAACAGACGCCTTTCTCATCCACTTGGCAGAGTTTGAAAATGGCTTCAAAGTAGCTTCCACTGGGACACTTTTTCTTTACAAGGGCGCCTCTTGCACACTCAAGATAGCCGGCGCAGTCCTTGGAGTCCTCTGTTCTTTCTCCTTCCTTACATATTTCTCTTTGGGGAGTGCACACTGCTCTTCTATCCAGGCGGCAGCTTTTTGATATAATATTAAAATAACTTCCAAGAGGACACTTTTCTTTTACCAGATTTCCACGTAAACAAATCATGTATGCAGCGCAATCATTGAAATCTACGAAAAGATCTCCCTCAAAACATTTTCTTGTTGAAGTAGGGCAGATTTCAAACTCATCCACCACACAAACCTCATTATTGGCCTCAAAATAACTTCCATTGGGGCAATTTATGTGCACTGCTTCATCATCGAGGCACTGAAAATAGCTGGCACAATCATCGATGTCGGCTGCGACTAAGCCCTCGGTACATTTCACGGAATCCTTAATGACGGATGCTGAAGATGTACGCATCAAGCATATCAATGCCCACATAGAACACACTGAGCCAGGGAAAAATCCATTAGTTTTTTTGATTTATTCTTTTTGGGGTAAATTTTTCTCACCGTAGTATATCATCCGCATCGGTTCCAACTTCACGTTCTTAAATTTTTTCAATGAGAGGCGTTCCATGAAGTTTAAGCTTTTATACTGCAGCTCCATTAGCACTTTTGTAAATACTGATAAGTTAGAGTGATGACCTTATCTTAAAGATGGTACTTATGTCCCTTTATAAGTGGCAAATAGAAAATGTGTGAGAAAATGTTTTGACAAATGACTCAGCCACGAAAATATTTATAAAAGGCTAAATAATCGCCATCCAATAATAATGTAACAATGTAAGCTTGAAGGACCCAAGAGACAACTGACTTAGACCTTTAAAGTTGTCTTTTGGGTCCTTTCTGTTTGCATGGCTATTTTATTATTTGATGGCGATATCTTAAATAACCAAAATTTTTTCATACTAAAAACGCAATTTTCAGTTTGATGAATGACAATACCCGGAATGTGTAAAGCACGGTTGGAATCACACTTGTTGTCAACTTATTTGCATATTTTTTTATCCACTACTTGTTCGATTTCAGGTTTTCTCTTGAATTTCCAATAACGGCAACTAAGAAATTAACATACGACAGGAACCCAGCGGCGCCTTTTTGCCATTGATTTTCTCTAGATTTATTTGATTACTTGCAGAAAACATTTTAAAAATTCATTAATGGCAGTCGGGGTTTCGACCAAACTATCAACAATCGCCCTCTAAATATTCCGTTTGTTGTTCAAAAGGGAATCATTTCTTAGATGCCCTTTTTTGTAGAGATTTTCAATCACGCGTTCTCGAGCTTTTTTGGAGGTTCGTTTCCCAAATGACCTAAAGGTATGATGACACGAGTCCTTGGGAAATTGTGAAAACGAGCTGAATGTGGACAACTGTGTCAACTAAAAAGTGTCAACAATTGTCGCAGCTTAGGGAGTTGAACCTCGTTCTTGCTGGTTTGTTTTTCTTTGCCAATCTGCGTTGCAAGATTCTTAAAAAAAGGACATTTCAGTCAAAGTAAATTGAAATGCCAATGTCCTATTCTACACAGCGAAAGTTTTTAATGTTAGTTCTGACAAATAATTTAAGATAATTTTTAAGGAACCCTAAACTTTTTGATTGTAATACTTTTAGATTTTTCTCTTTGTGCATTTTCGCATTCAAAGTGCACAAAGGCAGCCCGCGAAGCCATTTGCTCGGCTCACTTGTCTTTCATAATCAAGGCCCCATTTCTATCTACAACAGCTGTAATAATTCACAGGCCAATGTCAAAGGATTATGTTGCCGTCGCATAAAAAAATTGGTTTAGGCTTGGCTGGACTTCTATTAAAACAAGAGAGAACGCTATAGTCGGGGCCCACTATCAGATAGTTACTCAGGTAAAGGAGTGGAGGGAGATGGAGATAGAAACTTTGATCACCATAACTTTTAACGAATGGTCCGATTTGAAACATTTCTTCACATTTCGATATGTATTGATAAACACAATAAAACTGCATTTTACTTTCCGAAATATTTAAATTTTTAAAATCGTATATAAGCGATTGTGGGCGTTAAAGGGGCGGGCACCATTTTGAAACAAACTTGCGCTGCGAGGAACTTCAAAATCTACATGCAAAATGCCAATCTTCTAGCTTTTATAGTTTCCGAGATCTCAGCGTTCATACGACAGACAGACAGACGGACAGACAGACGGACAGACGGACAGACGGACATGGCTAGATCGACTCCGCTAGTGATCCTGATCAAGAATATATATACTTTATAGGGTCGGAAACGCTTCCTTCTAGCTGTTACATACTTTTGCACGAATACAATATACCCTTTTACTCTACGAGTAACGGGTATAATTAAACATAGTGCAAACCTGGCTCCGCTTCCCATTTCGCTTTATGACAAAATGCCTAATTCACAATAAAATCCAAATTTGGTTGACTTATTTTTATTTGACAAAGGTTCTTCGGGAAAAAGGGTGGAAAAGCGATTGCTTTCCACATGTACGTTTTCTATATCTCACTTTTTCGCCTTCCAGTAATGGTAAAATGGAAAAAAGAAAATTTGAATTCCAGAAATCACGCTTGAAATTCTTTTAAAAATATTTAAAGCATATTGTTATAATTTAACAGGTCCTAAGTAACTGTATTTCTATTTAAATTCTTGACACAAATTAAATTAAATTCACATACGACCTGTTGTTTCCCAGCCTGCATCAGTATTTGCTTCAACACTATTTATAAGAGCATTTGCATATATTTCGAAGCTGTCTGTAAGATAAGCCCGCTTGGTAAGACAGGAATGCCGTAAAATTCTTGAAATTGAAAAGGCAATATTACAACGAGAGCCACTCTCTCCACAAATTTCTGAATGACTTAAAACTTTTTTGGGGGCAAACAAAACACATGGTTAGGCAAAGAGCTAAGTTCGAGGTAAACAATTTTTAATATTGCGCTCGGCTAGCATCAATCTCAATGCATCTTGCAGATTGTTTTGGGTTTTATTGCAAAAGCCGTTTGAGATGAGCACTAACTTAATCTCGCCCTCCTGCCTCTCCAAAATCAAATTTTATAAACACTACTTTTTTGTACCTTCAGTCAGTCAACTGTTTGAAACTTTCGCACAGGTGTTTTTTTGTGTTTTAAAAGTAAACAAATTCAATTTGTTGCCGTCATATCATTTCTCTTGCTATACAAGTATACATGTTCGCAACATTCTTGACAGCATTCTAAGTGCTTTAAAGACGCATTTAAGTCCTGGTAAAAACAAAAATAACTCCACAGAAAATTTACATCGATGTGTCGAATTATTTGCTTTGCCATCTTACTTAATTTTGTTCAATTTACTGTTTTAAAAAGTAAAAAAAAAACAAAACCTATTTATTCAAGAATTACTATAAAAAGTTGCATTTTGTTTTGTTTTGTCGCAATGTTAAACATGAACCTGAGAAATTTAATCAGTGGACATATGTCGTGTGATAACAAGATATCGGAAACGAATAAATATTTGGCAAAGGAGTTGTTTATGTTTGTTCTTTTTCCAACATGTCCGATTCGCCACAAGCTAGTTTATTTACAAAATAAACTGTCAATGGCTGTTATCAGTTTAATGATGCAAAATTGGCATATAGGTGAATAAAACTATAAAAATTAAGCTTTTATTGAAATATTGACTGACATATTATTTGTACTGTAAAAGCAAAATTAAATTTACACACATTTTCAAATCGCAACTTTAATTTTCACCGTTTGCCAGTTTAAGAAAAATCTTGGTGATTTAAATTTAAAATTCATTTTCCTGCTGTAAAACTACAAACTGTAAAAAATCATAAATGCGTAACAAGTGGGGACGGTCAATTGTAAATTCGTGTCCGAAACTCTCTCTCAAAAAAACGAATGTGAACGGATGTCTGGAATTGAATTTATTATTATTTATGATGCTCATGGACATGACGTGCCGCCTCCGCCGTTTGGTTGAGTATATTAATACAACCAAAGTGTTCGCTGTATTAATATTGATTTTGGCGGATCCCTCCGATCAGCCGGGACATATGCAAATGCCACAAAGCGGGAAGTGTTGGTTGTATCAATAAACCAGAGTCAGTAACATGTAGACAAGGCAAACAGATAATAGCTAGTCAAAAGCGGCAATAAATCTGTGTACAACGCCCGACACGCGTCGACATTAAACCGACACATAAACCGACACAAGAGTGTCGATGCAGTAAAGAGACTTAAACAAGTAGAGGCCCAAAGCAATTTTTCTGCCTTAGTCCAATGGAGGCCAATTAAACATGAAAAGTCTGTAGGAGCGTTACAATGCGGACATTGCAAATTAATAATAAAATATGCGTTCACTTGAATAAAATAATTCTCACAAGAAGCAAGCTTTTGTAAGCACCAAGGCGTAAAGGCTACTCCATTTCGGTAGAATGCTGCAAATTTATAATTAACCAGACTACGTTTTGTTGTCCATTGTTATCGAAAAGCAAATTATTAAAAAACTTATGGGATAAGACCGGCTTAAGTCCGTTTGCTGCAATATTTACACAGACAGCAGCGACAACGTTGCGTATGCTTTATATTTTTTACGTACAACTGCTGCTACAGCACAAGAAAATACTGATTTATTATATTTCCGGTAAAGGCTAAGGGTAATGTAATATACAAATTTATGATACAATTTTATTTCCTCACATTTTTAAAGGACATTCAAGCAACAACTTTGTTTTGCAAAACAGTTGAAGTAAAAATAACAACCACCAAATTATTGTATATTCTAGTTTTAACAAATTACATTATTTTCTTTTAATTAGATCTTTAAAGTGGAAACTGCTTATACAGGTTTATATTTTCAATGATATATTTTCTCAGATTTTAACTAAAGGATACTTAGACATATTTTCTAGTAATTCGCAAATGAAAAAATCTCTAAAAAAAATGGATAATCCGTTCTGCATCATCTTAATTTAAAAGTGTTGACTGTGCAGGCAATAAAAAGCGTTTAATGCTTTTCGAAAATGCATTTAAGTATTGAATGTATGTCGCTCGTGTCCTGGACGCATGGAAACCTAATTTGACACATCAGACAGGTGTTTTGTCCATGATTTCTGGTCATGTGCCCCGAGCTAATCCCACCTAGAACCAAACGACCGACCAGATGTGTGAAACTCAGCTAAATGCTAACGAGCGGAAACAACAGATGCCGGCGGAAAGGCCAAGCTGATTAGCAGGTAAATAAAGCTCATTACAACTGTAAGATAAGCCCGCTTGGTAAGACAGGAATGCCGTAAAATTCTTGAAATTGAAAAGGCAATATTACAACGAGAGCCAATCTTTCCACAAATTTCTGAATGACTTAAAACTTTTTTGGGGTCAAACAAAACTCTTGGTTAGGCAGAGAGCACACTTCGAGGTAAAGAATTTAATATTGCGCTCGGCTGGCATCAATCTCAATGCATCTTGCAGATTGTTTTTGGTATTATTGCCAAAGCCGTTTGAGATGAGCACTAACTTAATCTCGCCCTCCTGCCTCTCCAAAATCAAATTTTATAAACACTACTTTTTTGTACCTTC